TTCGATGTTTGCCCGATTTTACTTCCTAGATGTATTCTGGCCCCGACTCTACATCTTTTGTAATAAACTAATCTCCTCAGTATCGACGCATGTATGGCTTGGATGAAGAATCAAGGGATTTTTGATGATACATCAAGGAATATTTGCTGGCTAATTTTTTTCCACAAATATTCCAATCAATACTTATTCTGTTGGTGGGCACAATGAGCCAAGAGCATACCAAAATTGACCAAAAATCAAGAAGTGGGGGGGAATTTTATAAATTTTAGCAATGTCTCGTTTCTGAATCTAAACCAAAAATTTAAAAATTCGAGTTATTAGATTCAATATGGCAGATTAAAATTTGAAAATTTTTCGTGTTTGCATAAAGATGATTCCCTCAGATTTTTCTAGGTTTAGATTGTACTCCTAAGCAAATTCTAAACTCAATATAAATTTTATAAAAATGGATGGAATATGTTTATCAAAAACATGACAGTTGTTATCATTCATATGAATTGTATTAACTGTGTGTGCTAACTGTTTGACGATGTTGTAGACATGTGCGACTATCCTACAAGATTGTATTTTGTACTTACGAAGATATTGCAGTGCGATTGTAGATCCTGTTGAGGTGCTTGATTATAGCGAATTCTCTTGCTTCTCACTAATTCGTCCACATTTTAGTCCGTATCATATTCGTCGTTTGACAACAGTTCTCCACTTAGAAGTTCTAAAGTTTCGGATATACTTGTTGAATTTTCTTCTATTTCACAGTCATCTTGTGATTCTTATTAGAAATGTACTTGTACTTCCGCAATGACGAATAAATCTCTCGCTTCTTCAAGAAGTGGTAGATTCTACCTGTTGACTCGTGACTGAAGTTTTATGGTTGAAATAATAGGATGTGAACTGTCCACTGTTCTTTAAATAAAAGTTGACCTTCGTGTGTTCCATAATGTGATTTAATAATTTTTTTTAGCATTATAGATTAATTCGAAATGATTGAACGCATTCTTTATTATTATCCATCGATGGAATATTGTTGACATTGTAAGAATCTGTGAAGTTATTGCATTGGCTTCGTTTTACTATAAATTCGATAATGTTCTTCTTGGAAGAACGTATAATATGAGAGTTTATGTTCGTCAAAGTGTTTTTCGCCTTCAAAATATTCATCACAAATATTACAAGTTCTTGATATAAATTAAAGGTTCATTACTGTTCCATTGTTGGATCCTTTATCAATTCAATTATTATTACTTTCTTCTTTCTTTCGTATTACCGTTTCTTCTCTTTCACACGATATTTTGTGATTTTCAAATATTTCCTGTGACTAAAATATATTTTTGCAACGAATGCACTGAATTTCATTGCTCAATATTTCATTATATAGATAATTTTTTATTATTTTAATTGTACAATTCATTGCTTTTAGTTTCTTTATTGCGCGATTCAACATTTTGCGCGACTCAGATTGCAGTTTCCTCGTATTATTTGCAAAATTGTCGTTTAGCTCATTAACCCTTTCCTTACGGCAGCCCGCATCGCCAGAGTGACGTTACCGAACGGGGCACCACGCCACGAAGTGTGCACTTTGCACGTCGGTAGTCGTTGATGTTCGGACTTACATCTTTCAACGCCACTTTGTGATTGTCTTGTATGTACACTTTTTTAAGAACTATATAACAACTGTTGCATCGTATTATATGAAAAACATGAAAATGAGTATATTGTATGAATATCCAGTTATTTACATATTTAGAAATTTTGCTATTATTATAAGGAAAAATACAATTTGGGGTAGTTAGACATCAAATTATAATTCCTAGTAATTTAATTCAGTATGGTAAATTGTAAAAGAAGGATCAACGCAGAGACCCGTACACTCAGGTCGTCGCGCGGCCGCCGACTATAGTCGGCACCTGTAACGAAAGGGTTAATATTTTCTAAGTGAGTAAACTTTAAAGCGACTTCTTTATTCATTATCACATCTGTTTGTTTATCACAGGATCTGTCTTATTTATATAATAACGATCCTCTACATGATAGGGACATATATGGAGTGTCCAAAAATTCACGCAAGAAAAGACAACGTGACAGCTGACAGTTCAGGGATATTAAAAATAGAGCGCTACGCGAAGGAACGACGCGTCTACATTGTTGAGCAATATTTACAATTTTTTATTAAAAACCTGTGTTTTCTATTAAAATTACTTCTTGTGTGAATTTTGACACACCCTTCATGTACTCACGCATCGATCCTTCTTATCCTTTATATGAGTAATTAGGATTTAAAGTAGAAATATTTTAATTAGCTTACAAGTTTTAACTTTGGAAATTTACAATGTTTCTTTTAATTATTTGGGGTATGTGCAATTAAGAAATTATAAAAATAAAATTATAAACAGTACTTAAAGTTAACGTGGAGTGAAATTTTAAGTAGCTACTGAAATTTAAGTGTTTAATGTTACAAATTATTTAAATTTAAATTTAAAGTTAAATTGTCAAGAACCATAATATGACATGTGTGTTACATATGAATTAGAATTTAATATCAAAAAATTGTTAAAAATTACATAGATTACAGATTATTTATCGGAGAATTATAAAAGCATAGTTTTTATTGTACATGTTTTACATGTTGCACGTACTTTGGGTAAGTAAATTTTTTTTGCACAAATACATACCTTATTTGGAAAATAGAAAATATACCTGCTCGGTGATTGAGGACAGAAGGTCAA